GTTACTCCTCCCGTCTCAATGATCACCCTATCGTTATAGGACGGAATGGTGCACAACGAGTGCGATTCGATAGGTGTCATAATAGGTCCAAACACGCCTACCGCCATGACTCACCAGGCACATGTTAGACCTAACCCAAGATTAGTAATGATCCAAACACTCGATCGCACTTGGGGGATACGAGTTGAAAGTTCGTTTTTAGCGAGCGGGAAGGTAAGTCAGGATCTCTTCACTCTCGCTACCCCTCCCGTCTCGGTGATCACGCGGTCGTGACAGGACGGAATGTTGCGCGTGACGACGCGCGATTCAACAAGTATCGTAATAGGTCCGAGCACACGTCTGCAACCTACCTAACATCGAGAGAAAGTCAGATTTCATGTTGCCCATTTGATTGGACGGAATCACATGGATTTCACATTTACGTAGAAAGTCCAAGCATCTTTTAACCGAGGGTTTCCATTCAACAGGCAGCGTACCTTTTATGGAAACAAAGGTCAAGTCTTAGGGAGTTGAGGCGGGTCGGTAGCTAGATAGATGGAATTAGCTAGGTATTAATCTATGATCAAGCAGGTAATCTTCATTCTTTGAGAATAAGCAGGCGACATAAACCTTTGTCCTTATTATGTGAACATGATTCTGCATATGTAGAGGAGATTTTAATGCCGACCATGAACGATGACTCCTTTTGTTCGAGGAAATAGCCCAACTTCGCGGCAGAAAGTACAATATGATATAAGGAAAAGAAAGGAAAAGAATGCGCGATGACGTAAACACTCCTTTTATTTTCTATAAATAGGAAAATAACACAAATGATCCCTGAATTTTGGCTCAATTTACTATATGATCCATGAATTTTTAATTTATTCTATATAGTCCATGAATTTTAGCCTAATATGTAATTTGATCCCTCAACTTTAAAATTGTTCAATATAGTCCCTGGACTTTTGGTACATGTTTAATTTAGTCCCTAATTATATGAAAATGTTCAATATTATCCCTGAACTTGAATTAATGGAAGGACACCATTGAACATTTTCGTATAGTTTAGGGACTAAACTGAATATATAACAAAAGTTCAGGGAAAACATTGAATAAATTAAAAGTTCATGGACCACATTGCACATTGAAGTAAGGTTGAGGGATCACATTGAATAAATTTAAAGTTTATAGACGACATCGTACATTTGGCCAAAGTTTAGGGACTATTTGTATCATTATCACTTTTATAAATATATGTAAAATAAGGTTATAAGTGAGAGAGAATGATAAGTTTGTTTGTTAGTACACAAATCCCTCCAAATACTCCGAGTCCCTCCATACTCGTGGTGGCTCGAAGGGATTTAAGTTGTACATGGAATTGACCGGACCAATCCTTTTCTAATGGCGCCGAGCACTGTAGGCCCACGCCCGACCACCGGCGAGGGCCTACTTGCCTTGGCCTCGGCGAGAGCAAAGGCCCTTGCTTGTGGTCGCGGCAACCTTTGCCACCATCGGGTGTGGATCGCTTCGCCCTCACAACCTTCCATAGTGGTTGTGAGGATTGTTGTGGCCACCACTAGGCAAGGGCAAGGGCAAGGGCACTTGCCCGAATCTAGACGAGGGCAAGTAGGCCTTTGCCTGGTTGGGGCGAGGGTTGGCCGCCCTTGCCACGGCCAAGGTGAGGGTCGCCGACCCTCGTTGACGACAAAGAGGGCGACTTGCTTTGCCCCTAGCCCTTACTTGTTTTTATTTTCAATTTCATATTTCTTTTCAATTTGTTCAAATTATTACATCGTAGGCGTAAATTGACGTCATTTTGTTCCAAAAAGCCACACGAGTTGGAAAAAATAATCACAAAACCACATGTGCATTTCCGTCCATTGGAAATTGCCAGACTTGATGGGAAGACTGAAGTGCACAAATTTAATAAATTTTAGGACTTACATGCACGAATTGAAAGTTCTAGAACACAAAATTGACAAGTTTAGGAACTGCAATCATAATTTTTCCGTTCCTTTTTTCTTTATTTTTTGGGAATTTCTCACCTCCCAAGGTCAACCAAATATCATTCCTACCAATGTTGACATATACACCAAAAGGGAGTTTGGATCTGGCATGGTAGAAGGCGTTGAAAGTGGATCGAGTCTTTCATATATTTTTGTTTATTTAATATCACAAAAAAAAAGAATAAGAAAATGAAGAAAGAGACCCCATACACCATTCCTTTATTTATATTATTATTATTATTATTTTCTTTTGGCCAATAAAAACAAAAATGCATCTGCATATTCTATTTCCAAAAGAAAAATACAAAAATAAAAAAAAGAATCAGAAAAATATAATCCATATATTAAGATGGAGATTCTTATGGAGCCCTATAGAAAAGAAAAGAGAACTCGTCAATTAAAATTGAGTAATTGCTCTAGAAATAAGTCTGCCCGGAGTGAAGAAATAGTCTTACAAATTTGACTCCTATTTGTATAATTAAACCAAAAGTGGGCTTTGTATTTTTTTTAATGGCTTTCCCAAATTACCCCTACATCAACTAATAAGAAAATAAAATAAAAAAGGTATAATTACCATTTTCAATAACTTTCATTTGTTGAGGAAATTATCCAATCGATTGTAAAGCTATTGTGCAGTTGTCAATCAGTCCTAAATTTTCTGGTTTTGCCAATTTTATGCTAGACCTTCACATGCGATTCTAATGTAATTATTTCGGTCAATTCTCGTCGAAACTTGCTAACTTGATAGTGTACCACGCAGAACAACTGACGATAACTAGATCGCTACGTCAGTGACTTTCGACGAAAACTGATTGGAATGATTACATTTTTATTAGTGCACATATGTTTAGGAGCAAATTGGTAAAATTGAAAGGTTTAGAACTAAATTGACATTTATACAATAGATTTAAGACCGATTTGGTAATTTTGCCTCCATTTATCTCCCTTTTTGTTTCCAAAATTTAGTCTTGCATCAAAACTTAAAACTATAGATTACTCTCTCCATTAACTACTCAATTTACAAATATTTAATAACTACCAATTGCGCATAAAGTAACTCATCCGCACATGGTTTCCCACGTTCTCCCTTTTCATTTAATCAATCATACTTTTAATTAAGATTTTCATGGGTACTTGAACATTGCATTAACAAGTCAGAAAGAGCTCGCAGTGATTGGTGGATCGTTCTTTCAAGGCCTTTGCTTAGACACTTTAAAATATTAATTAAAAAATTTATACATGACAATCCTAATAAACAACATTTAATGTCTTTAGGTATAGAAAAAAAATATATATTAGTGATTTTTAGGATTTTATAAAAATGGAATCTTTAATGCTAACCCAGCACAAAGCTCGTGCCCTTTCTGCGGGAAGGCAATCATGAGTACACGAAGTTTCCAACAGTCCTCGAATTTGTTAATATCTACTATATTCTCTAGTAAAATTATTGATACACTGAGATCGATTTACATAATTTATTTATAAAATAATGTGCTAATATTCTAATGGAGTGATGAATGCATCCCCACTTCCTTAATGACCAATTTTATTGTGCGACATCGTCATCAATATTTAAGAAATTCTTACTATATCTAGTATTCTTAGTTTTGGGGTTTTGTTCGAAAATCCAAATTGTAGATTTTTAAAATTAAGGATGAAAATTGATACAATGGTGGAAAACTAAAGATGGGTTTTGAAATTTTTGCCAAACTAAAATGAGGCTTTGTCGATCATCATCACTAATTTAAGCTGTCCACGTGACAAATAGAAATCACCTGACTAATTTAGTTAGATTACAATATTTAGTAAAGATTTAGGGCTGGTTTATATTTTTCAATAATGATTCGTGATTTAGTTGCACCACTTAAAAGATATAGGATGTGGCTGCTGGAAAATAAATCCCAACCTAATATTAAGTCCTCTCATTACATCTTTCAATATAAAAATGTATAAAGCTTTTTTCGGTTTTATCAACCAAAAATGGCTTCCAGACATTTACAAAAACGTCTTCAGAGATGGGGTAAAATGAGGAGGCCCTCCCAAACTTATGATGCCTTAAAATCAAATATCACAAATAGCCCTAAAGTCAGGGAATCACATGCATTAATCTCTCTAATTTTACTTACTAAATCTTTATGCTTATATACTCGCTACTGATTAATTACGAAAAAAACTCCCATTAACCTCGTTAATTTAGTGATACCCAAGTTGATAACTGTTTATACACGATAGTATGGAGAGTCAAACATGTACTGTATTTTTAATCAACACACTAAATTTCATTTTCTAACCACTACACGCGGTTTTCTATTATACCAAAGCAATTACATTTCTTTTATTATCATGGTCTATTGGAATTAAGCACTGTATATTTATTTATGCATTAACCTTTTTTTGGAAGAGATAATTGTACAAATAGTTCCCAAACTTCGGTTCAATATATAATGTCATCCCTAAACATTTAATTTGTTCAATGTGGTCCCTGGATCATTGGCTCAACGTTCAATGTAGTCCCTGAACCAAAGTTCATGGACCACATTGAATAAATTAAAGATTTAGGGATAACATTGTATATCGGATTGAAGTTCAGAATACCATTTGTGCCATTCTTCCTTTTTTATAATTATGAATTTTCTTAAGCGATGGGTTTTTTTATTGATTAAGCTAATGTCTTACTCGATAAATCAAGTCAATTGTGGGAGTTACATGGCAGTTAACACATGAAAGGGGCTGCTCTAAAATCTCAATCCTCTCAACCTAAGAAGAAGATAAAGAATTTCAGGTGTTAGGGTGGCCATTGAATTAAGCTAATTGGAAAGAAAGAATTTTGATTTGCATTAATTGGAGATAAAACCAGAAATTTCCTGTACAAAAAATCGATGATTAGTCACAATTGAAAGGAAATTTTTTTTGTTGCAAAAAAGTCCATAATTCTTATTGAAGAAACCATGAGCAAGAGAGAGAGAGAGAGAGAGAGAGAGATCGATCTTGAGAAAGACGGCAACTTTTCTTCTTTGGGTCACTCTGGCTCTGCAGATCTCGTCGCTCTGTTTGTTCATCTCCTTCTTCTTCTTCTTCCGTTGGCTTTGGTCTCTTCCTTGTTCTAGCGCCTCTCCGTCTCTCCGATCAAGAAGCCCCGTCTCTCTCCGTTGGACCCCACCTCCGACCTCCCCCTCCCCCCTCTTCTTTAACTCGAGAGAAAGACACCCCCCATCATGATCTCCACACACCCTCCTCCTCCTCCTCCATTCCTCCTGATCTGAAACGCACGCACCCTGTCTCTCTCTATCCCCCCGTGTGTAGAAAGCAAGGAGACGGGAGAAGCGATGATCCAGCTCCTGTTCGCGGCGATATTCGCCGAAGGGTCGCTGATACTGCTGCTGCTGTTCAGGACCCCGCTGAGGAAGCTCGCGGTCGTAGGGCTGGATCGGGTCAAGCGCGGGCACGGGCCGGTGGTGGTCAAGACGGTGGCCGCCACCGTCTGCGTCGTGCTGGGCTCCGGCGTGCACAGCATGGTGAAGATCCGGCGGCGCGGGGCGGCCGAGGACGGCGGGGCCAACCCGACGGACCAGGTCCTCATGGCCAAGCACCTGCTCGAGTCCACTCTCATGGGTGAGTGACGGGTTCTTAGGATTTCTGGTTTTGATCGGTGAAAATGTGATCTTTTTCCATGTGGGTGTGTGTGTTTCTGGATGGTGGTCACTAAAAGGTTCCCAATTCGATGGTCCGGATGGAGAGTTTTGATACTTAGATTCGGGTTCGATTCGATTTAATGTAGTCCTCTTGATGAGAACCAGTTATTCCTCGGTGAATTCGAATTGGTGGGTGCCGGTTTTGAGCGAATTGGAGAGGTGCTGAAGTGCAGGCGAACAGAATGACAAGAAAGTGAACGGAAAGGTTTGATTGCCAAGTAATTAGGTGCCTAGTTTTGATTCTGCTTTGGTTTTGTCATTGCAATTGGTGGATGATCTTGTTTTTACAATCTAGACTAGAAGGAAGCTAGCCGTGTTTTGATACGACTCCTTATTCTGTTTGAGTGAACTGGATTTGATGGTTTTGGTGGATTGATGGAAAAGTTGTGGGTCTTTGATCACATTATATTGCCTTCGGATCTCCATGAGCCCTTAGTCTCGGTATCTCTGGGTCTTCTTAATTTTTATTTGGACATACTTCTGTTTGGAATATTCTTAGGCTGCATCGTATTGATTTAGCCACTTTGAGCAAGGATGGGATTTCTTTCACAGGACTACACTTTTTTTCTACGGAAAAAGAAAAACAGAGTGCCCAATCGAATTCCTTGCTGCAATGTCCAATGCAGCATCTCTGTTTTCAATTTTTGGACATGATGGTGGAAACCTTGAACAACAATTCTAGCAGCATATAATAGAAATAATTATATATTAGTCATACGGGAATTTGATATAATTGTGCTAGTAGTACGTGGTAATCGGTTGATTATGCCTTGTTAGTTTTACAGTATGAACCTTGAAGCCGTCGAGTCCTCAATCAATTATGTCATTTGGGTAGTAATCTGCTCCATACAAGGATGAGGATTAGCAGAGACAAAGACTGCGTCTGTGCTAATGTAAAAAAGTAAATTCGTCATCTAACAATTCGAATCGCTCTTTAGATAACTCCATAATATGCGTATTAATGTCTCTCTACTAGTTCTATACGATCACAATTGTGAATTAATCTACAACATGATTCAATCATATATAGGCTTCTTCTGAGTTACAACACTGTCTTTCTATATTGGCCCTGCAACTCGTTACTCATGTTGCCTTTCATGAAAATGATTCATCTGGGCCATTACGTATCACTCCTATCTAATGTTGCGCATTTGCCTTTCGCTGCAGAACCTTTGTTTCAATGGGTAGTTGTTTTGCAGGAGCCACCTTGTTCCTTGCTTTGATGATAGACAGACTGCATCACTACATCAGAGAGCTCCGACTGCGAAGGAAGAGCATGGAGGCTGCGAAGAAACAGACCCGACCCTTTGAGGACGGGAAAAACGGGAACTCAGAGGAGCTCAAGAACTTGGAGGAGGAGACGAGAGCTTTGAGAGAGAAAGTCAAGCAGCTGGAATTGGATCTCAAGACGAGGATCAAGGACGTGCACGCCGCAGAAGCCAACTCGATCGCTCTGAGGAAACAATCAGAAGGGTTCCTTCTTGAATATGACCGTCTGCTCGAGGAAAACCAAAACTTGCGGAACCAGCTGCAATCACTGGATCGGAGGTTGTCGCGTTCGGGAAGCAAGAAGAACACCTGAGAGGCTAGCTAATCTTTTCGGTGTAGACAAAAACTGTTCATTGTACTCTGTTCTTGGTTTCATTTTATCTGTTCTTGTTTTCTTAGTGTGTATATTTTGGAAGCTGAGGCATTTGTTCAGGTTGGTTATACCTGTGGTTGAATCACATTTGGGTTTTGTTAAGATGAAGAGAATGACAAGGAAAAAAGGGGACAAAGGTTGGAAAAGGAAGAAACAATACGAATTCATTTAACCTGTGCTTTACTCAGTGCCAGATGATATTTCTTGTTTGGTTTATTACAGTTTAAACCTTGCGTGCAAGGAATTTTCTTCTACATTTGTCTGTTCATACATCTCATTTTGCTCCTCCTCATCTAGTTAAGTTGTCTCAGTTGGCAAAAAGTATGTTGCCTCCCGGTCTTCGATGGGCTCTCAAGAAATCATTCCGTAATGCGTCATGTTGTGCTCGAGTTTATAGTGTCGTGATATCTGTACAAAGTGTTTGAACACCATACTTCTCATTTTGCTCCTCCTCATCTAGTTGTCTCAGTTGGCAAAAAGTATGTTGCCCCTGTGTCTTCGATGGACTCTCAAGAAATCATTCCGTAATGCGTCGTGTTGTACTCGAGTTTATCGTGTCGTGATATCTGTACAAAGTGTTTGAACACCATTAGGTAAGTTGTCCGTTTTGACGCTTAGGTCCCTTGAACAACATGATTAACTTTCATTCCAGTCTCGACTGTTTGAAGATTTTCGGATTCTTCATTACCAGTACAAGAAAAGGTCTGATAGCTTCTTTCTCCTTTAAGCTAGTTGATTCTATTCTCTGAGGTGCCAAAAGAGACCATGTGATTTGCCTCGACGATCTTTAACCGTTGGAAGCTCTTTTACCTCTGGGTTTTCTTCCTTGGGAAGAATCAGACAAGAACATGTGATGATGCTGGGGATGATTTGGTCCATCGGTTCCCAGGAAAGAGATGGTTTTCATGCCTACTAATGTCCGAGGAATGCTTTAGGAAAACCGTCCATTTTTGCACCGACTGCAAAAGAGTACCCCTGGAAAGCGTTTGTCCTTGTTGAGAGTCGATCCTGTTGCTGTCATCGGTCCAGAATTAACGAGCTTATATCAGCGGTTCATAGTAATTCAGAGCACATGTTTGCTGCTGCTGAATGAACATGGGAGGATGCTCAGATGCACTGGCAGGCGGTCTTAATCAAGTGAGTCCCACTGTGCGGTCGACACGATCGATAGCTATGATCATGTTAGTCTGTCGTAAATCGAGTCTATGTGATATTTTCATAAGGGGATCATTTTGAATGAAATTGAGGTACATTGTATGTGTAAAAGAGATAATTACTCTGTACCAACACTGTGTTGGGCCTGTTGGCTGAGATGATAAGGAAATATAGTTGTCATGATATGCCACTATGCATTTGTGGTCAAACGCATATCGAGCTCGTGAATTCGCCAAACCTAACATGCGACATACACTGACATCGTTTTGATCGGACCCCTTATCTAAGTCTCTCTCTATATGCAAATGCAAAAATCGTCCACATTAGCACCAATTTACCGTCGGTCAGCCACGTTGGATAGCCGGCACTAACTAGACCGTCATATCAGTAATTTCTGGCCAAAATTAATCGGAAGGACTACATTAGCAAATCATCAAAAAGTTTAGGATTAAATTGGCAAAATTGAAAAGTTTATGATTGAATTGGTCGCTGTATAATAGATTTAGACTTTTTGGATAATTATCCCCGTAACTGTAATGGACCATCACAAAATGTCTCGAATATGGCGATTCTCTGTTTAGCTAACTTCCTCTTTCTCTCTAGATGTAGATAGAGAGATCCCTCTCATGGACAATTATGATTGGTACGCGACAGAAGATGAGAGTGGAGAGCCTACTTCTCACACAATCTATGTAGAAAGTTAGATGTTAATTACATAAACGGGTAATTCTTTTTTACCATAGATATGACTTAAGATGTTAATAAAGCTAAAGCATGCGCAATTTCCACTAATTGGGTGACAGTACATGACAGTTCTTTTCAGCTTTTTGAGGCCCAGTAGCAATGTTGAAGATGAGCGGAAAACAGTTCATGCATGCAATCTTCTTAAGCATATCATTAAAAAAAGTCTACTTTTCTTAGGCCTAACACCTATTTTAATTTGATATTCACTCTAGTTTTATTTGTTCCTATTAGTTTATTATTAACTCTTGTTTGTTTGTGCAATTCGCTTATGATCCTGCCGCGTCTAGTTCATATCGCATCTGAAAGTTTGGTGTTATGTTTCATATCTGCACATAGATTTGAAACTAGAGACAAATTTGATGCAAAGGTTAGAAAATGTTTTTTTTTCATTGGATATGGTTTTAATTAGGGTTAATACCGCCAAAAACCCCAAACTGGTACGCATGTGACAATTTTACCCCGAACTTTTTTTTTACCACCAAAAACTCCAAACTGGTACATTCGTGACAATTTTATCCCGAATTTATCACAAAAAATCCTAAACTGGTAAACTCGTGACAAATTTACCCTGAACTATTTTTTTGACCATAAAAAACCTCAAACTGGTACAACTGTGACAATTTTACCCCGAACTAATAATTTTTTAACATTATTTTTTATTTTTGCAAAATTTTTATTTATTTATTTATTTTTCTTCATCTTCAACCTCTGGCCGGTCACCGAACCGGCGACCGGCCAGAGGCGAAAGCCGGTGAGGCTCAACCTCGTCGGCGTGGGCGAGGCCAGCCCTCGCTAGATCGGGCGAGGGCGGCCCTCTCTAGATCGGGTGAGGGTGGCCCTCGCCCGACGCCGGCGAGGATGACCCTCACCTGAGTTGAGCGAGGGCTGCCTTCGCCTGCCCAGGCAAGGGTTGCCCTCACCGAATCTGGCGAGGTCGATCCTCGCTTGTGTCGGGCGTGGTCAGCCCTCGCTTGGGCGGGCGAGGGTTGCCCTCACTTGAGTCGGGCGAGGACAGCCCTCGCCCGACTCAGGCAAGGGTCACCCTCGCCCGACTCTGGCGAGGGCGGCCCTCGCCAGCGGCTGGCGGGGCCGACCTCGCCGGTAGACATGGCCACGGTTCAGGAACCGTCGGTTCCGGTTCGTGGCCATGTATGAACCGGAACCGGCGGTTCCGGGCCGGTTTCTGTTCCGGTTCGAGGGGGGAGGAGGAGAAAAGGGGAGGAGGCGCAGGGTAGCGAAGGGGGAGGAGGAGGGGGCGTCGGCGGCTGTGGCCATGGGCGGGGGCGACGGTGGCGACGGCGGCGGGGGTCAGGTTTGGGAAGACGGGGCTGGGCGGAGGAGAAAAGGGGAGGACCGGAGGAGGCGCAGGGGAGAGGGGGGAAGGAGGGATTTGGAGGAGGACTGGAGGAGGTGGGCGTGGGTGGGGGTGGGAGCGTGGGGGCCTCGAGGCCTGCTCGGCGGCGCCGCCCTGCCCGCTCTCCAGGCTGATGGCCGGGCCGGCCGCCGCGGAGTACGAGGGCCTCCTCGGATTCGCCATCGACGGACTCTAGACGGCGTTCAATCTCGCGGCGACGGCGGCTGCAGCGGCGACATGGGAGTGCTTGGCTTTGGCGAGCGGGGGTTCAATGACTGGTGCAGAGCTGCAACTGCGAGCAGAAGAAGAAGAAGAAGAAGAAGCGGCTGTTTCGGCGGAGGAGGAGGAGGTTCTTCTTTTAGGTCTCCCACGGTGGGGTTGCAGTAGCAGTTTTTTTTTTTTTTGGAACCGGCGGTTCCGGGCCGGTTCCAAAATTATTGGAACCGTAACCGGGCCTGTAGCCACGGGCCGGTTCCGAACCGCTGGCCCGGTCAACGGGCCGGTCCCGGGTTTGACCCGGGCCGATTCCTGGCCAAAATCGGCCCGTGGCCATGTCTACTCGCTGGCTTCCACCTCTGGTCGGTCGCTGGTCCAGCGACTGGCCAGAGGTTAAAGATGAAGAAAAAAAAAAGAATAGAAAAAAAATAAATAAAAAATTTTAAAAAATAAAAAATAATATTAAAAAATTAATTCGGGGTAAAATTGTCACATGTGTACCAATTTGGGGTTTTTTGTGATAAGTTTAGGGTAAAATTGTCACAGGTGTACCAATTTGGGTTTTTTTATGGTAAAAAAAAAGTTCGGGGTAAAATTGTCACACGCGTACCAGTTTGGGATTTTTGGTGGTATTAACCCGTTTTAATTATTTTGGCAATCGGCTCTGGGATGAACAAAATATGAAAATACCAAAAATTGATGATGTTGGGGTCAATGAACACATGTTGTACATGGACAATTCCGTGGCAGAATCTAGTGGGAGGAAGCAAACAAAGGAGATTAGAGAGATTGAATTGTTTCTAAGAATGTGGTGGTTAGGAATCTTGAAACTGTTGCTGTAGACTGATCAAGAACCAAAACAAAAACTACCTACATCTGAACCCACTTTAAGAAGATCTAGTAGAACATCTTTACTGTATAGAGGTATTCTTTATCATTAAATTATTTACTTTTGACTAATGCTGGCTCACCTGAATATTTTTCAAAAGCAATGCAGGTAAAATTTTTTTGTTAAGTGGGAGTTGGCAAAGTAGGATGAGTTGGATTCAATTGAGAAAAATAGAACTTGCGTGTTAACTCAGGTACTGGATGGGAAGAAGGCATTGCATAATAAGTGGGTGTATAGGCTTAAAGAAAAACCTTATGGCAGCAAGAGGTTCAAGGCGAGGTTAGTAGTAAAAGATTTTCTGCAGAAGAAAGGAATTGATTACACAGAAATTTTCGCTGTAGTTGTGAAGTTGACTACAATTAGGTTGATGTTGAGTATTGTTGCCGTTGAGAATTTTCATCTACAACAGTTAGATGTGAAGATTGCATTCCTCCTTGGTGACTTAAAGAAGGACATTTACATGGTTTAATCATAAGGTTTTCAAGTTCCTCGCAACCAAACTATGTCTCCAAGCTAAAGAAAAGTTCGTATGGTTTGAAACAGGCTCCTAGACAGTGGTACAAGAATTTTGACTCCTTTATGTGTGGTAATAAGTTCACTAGATGTGAAGTGGATCACTACTATTGCTTCAAGAGTTTTGATGACTGCCATATTATTTTCCATTGTATGTAGACAATATGGTCATTGTAGGATCTAGCATGAGGGAGATTTACGGAATGAAGCAACAACTGTCAAAGGATCGCGCGAGATAAATCACAAGAATTTCAAGAAAAGTACATTGAGAAAGT